ATCTACCATGCCTGAACTAGAACATGCAGCGGCCTGCAAATGAAACAAGTTTTTTTTACAAATAAAATTAGCAGCAACATTAAATAATAATGATGATAAAAAATCATGATTCACTGTCATAGGTAAAACAGAACTAATCGATTGCGAAACTGCCACTGAAATGGTATTAAAAGAAATAGTACTAACTTATAAATGACGATAATGATGGTGAATACTTATGATTTCTAGTGTTAAAAAATGAAAAAAATGCATTTGTGAATTAACATATTTACAGCCATACTTATGCTTAGAAAATGATTTTAGTTCCGGCAATTTCCTTACGAAAAAGTGCATGAAAAGCAAACGTACAGAAATATGGGTATATCTTATCCACCCTTTTTCAAAAAATCCAATGCTAGAAAGTGAACCGACCGATCCAAAAATTTTTAAAAGCGCCGACTATTTATAAAAACGGAGCAAAGGAAGAAAAACCAACTCGTAAGAACAGTAATCAGAAACCAGGATGAACTTTCAGAAAACCGTAAAAGTCAATTTCGCAAGAAGAATAAGATAGAAATCTAAAATTCCTCCTCTAATCAATTTCAAATTTTTAACATATTCCAGTCGGAAGTGGGTGTAGATGAGTATGTCGAACAACACACTGTAGCTCATAAACAAGATAAAAATAAAAATCAAGAAAAAGCACACACGATGCTAAATCAAAAAACTGCAAAATACAAGTAAAAATTTTCAAAATTTTTGAAAAATCTCAGAAAAATTATAATCTAACTGCACAAAAAAGATTTTAAACAGCGTTTTAGTCAAATTCATGGCATGTATCTACGTCCTCTGGGCTGCATCGGGAAAAAATCGCCTTTTGAAACCAATCCAAAATAATCTCAAGATAATCTCACCTTTCTGCGTTTCGCAAATTCTTGTTGCACAATTTCGGCGCGACGCCGTTTCTCCTCACTTTCCAACACAGCTTTTCCACTGCTACATTCGTCAGCATCGTATTCTCTCAAACAATTTACATTCAATAGCCGAAAAAAGGAAAATGAGGGTATAGTGCCTACTGCGGCATACCCACTGGCCGATCCGGGGGTG